TGGCCCAGCCTGCTGCGCTCTCACCCATGCCAAGGGGAACCCAGAAGCCCATGGTCCGCTCGGGCTGAGCGTGTATCCAAACACATGCAGCCCTCGGCAGGCTTAAGGGCCTCAAACCTTCTGGCTTTGGCTTAAAGAATGACCTGGTGCCTGTTTGTCACAGGCCGCCGCCCCCCCCCCAAGCCTCCATCGTGGATTGTTTCCATGGTCACCTTCATTGTACTGAGGTCCCGAGTGTGCTTACCAGTGTAGTTGATCACCATGGCTTTCCCAAACACGGAGGGGCTGTACCGCGGATTGGCCAGCTTGGTGTTGAGATACAGTCTGAAATTGGAGTCGTAGTCCACTTCCTTGTCTCCCAGTATGATAAACTGCCGACCCTGGGCGACTTTTATGTTCTTCTCCAGGACGTTGTCAATGACAGGGTCGATGTACTCATCCACGTCGTGGAACAGGAAAGGCGTGCCGTACTTGATGGACATTTCCAGCTGCTTCAGGAAGTCGGGGTCGTTGAAAGAGGCAACCTGCAGGGGACAGGACGCAGGTGCGGCAAGGCGGCGTGCTGAGCTGTGCCCTCGGCCATCCAAGGGAACCATGCCAGTGCAACAGGAGCATGCCGTGACCTTGAAGGGACCCGAGGGAGAGGGAGAGGAGGAGTACGGGACACACCCAGAAACCCAGGAGGTCCAGGCTCAGAGCGGCCTCTGGTTCCAAGGTCATGGTCCAGTGACCTGTGCAAGTGCAGGAGAACCAAGGATCAAGAGGGATCCAAACACTACATCCACAGACATCATTGTGTAAATCGCTTTTCTATTTTTATCCACTTCCCTCACAAAGCCTGGCTGACTGGACATTTCCCTTAAACCATCCAAAAGACTTCCCCTCTCTCTCCCGTCTCCCAGCACTTTAGGATGTTGGTTTGCTTACTGGCCTCTCTCCCCATAAGAAATGGAGTGAGCCCAATATGATCGCTGAAGTGATCACAAGGTGTCAAAGAGATCAGGTATCAGGCATCAAAGAACAAAAAATCTTATCATTGTGAATGAGGAGGAGTGCGGAGTGGGGACCCAAAGCCCATCTGTAGGCAACTGGACATCCCCTTACGGAAGGGTCTCGGGGAGGAGATGACCCAATCGGTGCAGTGTAGCAACAATGAAACATACAACTTTCTTCTAGTTCCTAAATGCTTCCTCCCCCTCCAACCCACCCAGGATCATGATCCCAATTCTACCTTACAAATTTGGCTAGACCAGAGGATGTACACTGGTACAGACAGGAACTGGAAACACAGGGAATCTAGGACGGATGATCCCTTCAGGACTAGTGGTGAGAGTGGTGAATACTGGGAGGGTGGAGGGTAGGTGGGGTGGAAAGGGGGAACTGATTACAGGGATCTACATATAGCCTCCTCCCTGGAGAATGGACAACAGGAAAGAAGGTGAAGGGAGACATCAGACAGTGTAAGATATGACAGAATAATAATTTATAAATGATCAAGGGTTCATGAGGGAGGGGGGAGTTGAGAGGGAGGGGATAAAAATGAGGAGCTTAGGTGGAGAGCAAATGTTTTGAGAATGATGAGGGCAATGAATGTACAAATGTGCTTGGCACAATGGATGGATGTATGGATTGTGATAAGAGTTGTACGAGCCCCCAATAAAACGGTTTTTTAAAATCATGAAATTTTAAAGAAAAAAGAAATGGGGTGAGAGTAGCCCTGAGGGCTGGGAGTAGACGGGCAACTTCAGAACCCTCTGGAAAGCGTAGGAAAGGGGGGAGGAATTCCCTAAACACTCTTGTGTTGATGTTTGTCCCACTTCAGCTACCTGTGGATTTCGAAAGCAGAAATGCCCTGACCTTGGAACCTGCCAAGAAAAACTAGGAAGAAAGGATAAAAACCGAATCACAAACGTGTCCGTGTTTCATCCAGAGTGTGGTTGGTCGGGACCGGTGGTTCGTCCTAGGTCTGTACCCAAGCCTGCACGGCAGCAGCACTCACAGGGGCCTCCGGGTGGAAACCACCCAAAGGCCCGCCTCCTGCCCGGTGGCGAAAGGAAATGCGGCCTATCCGACCCACGTGAGAAGGGATGATCCGCTATAGCAGCGACAGCACAGATGAGCCCGGGAAATGCTGGACTCTGGGAAAGAAGGCCCACCCCTAGAGGCTACTCATTGCAGAGGCGAGTCCACGAATTGTCCGGGAGAGGCAAAGTCAGCCAGAGACAGGAGAGGGGGAGGAGAAGTGAGCGTGGATGCTAACAGGTGTGGGTTCCTCCCGGGCGGTCAACATGCTCTGAAATCGATGTGGTGCAGGTTGCATGGTTCTGTGAAAGTGCTCTAGGCTGTTGTAAGGAGAGGGGGTACCGTGGACTGGGCTGAGTCCCCACAAGAGGCGTGGCCTCTTGGCTGGGCCAGGATTCTTCGTGGGCTGGCCGTTATGGAACGGCACACCTGTCAGGATGCAATCTCATCAGCCAATCAGTGCGAGAAGACTGGGATAGGATCCGCCTCAGGTCCTAGCCCTGATCTCATGAAAGGGGGGCTTACCTGGGGTGTGGCCTGCACCCCTTCTATCTCACAAGTGAGACGAGGGGAGAGAAGCAGGCAGAGAAAGAGGGACCTCAGTGGGACCACCAGGAGAGAAGAGCGGGAGCAGAGTGTGCCCTGTGGATCGGGGCCCCTGTGCTGGGAACCTCCTAGACCCAGGGATGACTGATGGTAACACACACGGGGGTCTCCACGGAACGAGGGGCCCACAGGTGTTGAAAGTCCTCCAGGGCCTTCCCAGAGAGCCCACACGGAACACTAATGTCTTCCGCTGGAGCTGGTGTCCTGAATTCAGACTTCTAGCCCCTCACCCGGGAGAGAATCAGTCTTATCAACCTCTCTTTGTTACAGCCGTCCACTGGTGTTCCTTCTGATATAGCAGTGGGAGAGGACTAATAATCCCAGTCAAGCTGCTCACTACCCCACAAAGCAAGCAAGCCAAACAGTGCCTGAGCATCACGCCCGCTGCCACGCCATGCAGGGTGGAGGGGCACAGGAAGGAGAAAACCGTCATCTCTGTCTCCAGCTGCTCACAGCCCGGGGAGGCTGCACGTGTTGCATGTTGAGAAGAGTCCCCTGCATGAGGGGTCAGCGGGCAGAGGGACTGGGCGGCAGGGGGCAGATCAGGCCGTACCCTCAGGTTGTTCTTCTCCTCTTTCCTCTTGATCCAGTTGAGGGCCTGCTGCTGGGGGTCGATGCACAGGGGGAAGCGGCTGGCCCTGGTGGTCAGGATGCCGTTCTGGACCGAGAGCTCGTCAGGCGGCAGCCCCTGGGAGCCCCACCTGGAAGGGTCAGCAGCAGTGACCAAGGGCGGAGGGTGGTGGGATTGGCCGCCCGGACTCCTGGGTGTGGCTGCAGCCATCGCCCTATCCCCACTCACTCCCCCTGGGTGTGGCTGAAGCCATCGCCCTATCCCCACTCAATCCCCGGAGCTCTGTATTGCCCTACCCCACCCCCGCCCCAGGGTCTCCCCAGCTCCGTCCACCTGCTAATCTCAACGTCGTCCGTGAGCAGGCTCTCCAGTCGGAAGGGTTGGCTCAAGGGGATGCCCCGCTCCTGGATGTCATTCTGCCAGACTTGGTTGACCATCTCGTCCCGGAACTCCCACGTGAAGGCCCCCTCGTAGCTCAGGAACGCGGCACACAGCAGGCAGTCTCCCAGCAACTTCACCCGCCGGTGCATCAGCTCGTCCAGGTCGCTCAGCCACCTGTGTGTGTGTGTGCGCGCGTGTTGGAGTCGGGGAGGGGGGTGGCAATCACCTTCTACCCACTGCTGGCAGGGTCACCTGCTGCACTGCCAGGGGGATTCCCAGCTCAGACGGAGTCTGGTCATGCAGGAGACCGGGCCTTTGGAAAGACTCCCCAGTCCAGGGCTCAGCACGACTTCATGAGCTCAGGGGTGTCTAAGCAGGACTCGGCTCAGTGGGTTTCCAATGGCTGTGGTCCTTTGGAAGCGGACTGCCGGGCCCTCCTTGGGTAAGATCAAACCTCCAGCCTCCCAGGTAGCAGCTGAGAGCTTAACCCTTAAGCCACCCAGGGACTCCACCTGGCAGGGGCCCCGGCGCGTCTGTGGACCGCCTTTGGTCTCAATGCCAGTCCCCAAGCTGTAAAGGCATTGCTTCCAAATGCCTATCAGTCAACGATGTACAGAGACAAGCCCACCGAGACAGAACCAGCCCTGCCGGCTCGGTGGCAGAACTCTATCCAAGATGAAAAGAGAGCAGCCTTCTGGCCTCTTCCGGGAAACGGCCAAAGGGCACTCCTTCCAGCCCTACTGAACCGCCTCCACGCCTGTGGTGCAGATGCTAGGCTGGAGACCACGGTCCCAGCCTGGGGGCGAGTTGTGCCCGGTGGGGTTGCCCATCTCTGCAGACAGCTCCATCCACGTGAACCTGGAGCCCAGGACGGAACATGACACCTGGACCGCGAGAAGGCATGGTCCAGCTACCGATTCTTCCACAACAGGCTCCAGGCTCGGAGGTCACGAGGGAGGTAAAGGGGGCTAGGACCCAGGCAGCCTGCCAGTGGCCCCTGGTTTCTCCTTGCCTCCGCAGCGGTGCTGCGCCTTAACCCTTAGGCATTCCTGAATGCATGACAGTGCCAGGTAGAAGCAGATCCCGCAAAGGGGCCCTTAGCCACATCAGATAGGACAGTGGTAAAATGAAAACTCTTCGTGTGCTCCTGGGTAGAAATGCCAGGTAAAACTAAGAACCAAGGTGGCCGGGAACCCCACTTAGGACGTTGACCTACAAGCGACAAAGTCTCACTGGGAGCTGCCACAGGTTCTCGTTCTTCGTGGCCCGGTGGCCGACAACTGTCACCACCCACGCTGGTGCAGCAGAGCCTGAGCAGCTGCTCCCAAGGCCGCACAGGGTTCCTGCGAGGCTCTGGTCCCAGCAGCTTCATCACGAATCAGCACATGGCCCTGTTCTTGGCGCAGGTCTGAAGAGCCTCAATTTATCTCACGAGCCCACAGCACAGCACTGCCGCTCTGGCCTGGAAGAAGTTTCTCTGATACGCTATGCACCTCTTCTCCCTAAGGCACGTCACAGCACTCCACCACCGTGGCGGGGCCACTTCAAGCAGCGAGACCCCCAACAGAAAGCTCAACGTGATGGAAAATGAGGCAGGAAGCAGCCCAGAGCCTTGTCGACGGTCTGTGAGCTGAGGCAAGAAGGCAGAACTTTGCCAAACTCACCGCCCTTGAGACAAGGCTGACTCGAACGTGTGGGTTCAAAGCCACCCACCTGTGCACCCCTCCAAGCACGTGCACGAGTGCCCGTGAGTGTTGGTTTTGGGGGTGACGGGCGGAGTTTTGTGCGTGGGGGTACCTCCCAACATGAAATGCGTGAGCAGTGGGGTGGCTCGTGCTCGGTGGGTTTCGCCACACACTGACCTGATGTTTTCTGACCCGAGACCCGAGATGAGCTTGTCGGCCGCGATCAGCCGTCTCTCCATGATCTCCGCTTCCTCCTGCAGCTTTTGTCTCTCCAGTATGGCCGCCTCGTATTTGGCCCCCAGAGCTTCCAGTTCTCTCTGGAGCGTGGCTAGCTCATTCTGGATCCTTTCCAGCTCCCGTTTCGTGAGGAAGAAGTTCCGTTCCAGTCTGGCCACCTGAGAAAAGACAACCGCAGAATGGGGCGGCGGCGGCAGTGGAGAAGCTGGAGGGGCGAGAACAAACAGTCTCGCACTTTCCGGAAGCCGTGGGGCCTGGGCCTCAAATCCATGGTCTGAGGGGAGACCAAGGTCAATTGGCACAGCACAGCTCACAAGGACAATTTTGTACATCCTCCTGCGGCGAGACGTGACTATGGCCCTAAAAGCTCAAGTGCTGCAGTCCGTGGCCTCTGTCTGAGGGAAGAGGGGGATGGAAACTGGAAACCGTGGAAACGATCAGTCCAGTGTACTTATGAACCACGGAACATCAGCTTGTTCCAATGAGGCCAGAAGAACTAGGTGGTGCCCAGCCCCCACTGCCGACTGCTCCGAAAGGGGCACACGAGAAGGTCCTGGTAGAAAGTGGAATTACATGGGCACCCATGTTTTGCACTGCTGTCCCTCTACTGACATGGCGCACCCTTGTGGGGAGAGGACCTTCCAGACTTCCACAGAGTGCATGGGTACCTCATTGCTCTTCCAGCTTTCAGTGCCCAAAAGAAAGCTGAACATGGTGTTTCTGCTTCACAGATGTACCAACCAGTAGAGTGCCCACCCAGATGACAGTTGTGCCTGTACCACCTTCATGCTCTTTGTTACCCCCCAGAGACAGCACAGAAGTACCATAAAAGAAGAGTAAAGAAAATAGAAGATGTATGGGAACAGTTAATCCAGAGGATGAATTGACCACAGCGAACCTCAGCCTCCACAACCCTGAGACCAGAAGAAGTAGATGGATCACAAAAGGGTCCTGAGTTGAGTGGGAGAAGAAAGTGGAACAAAACCTGAAATCATAATATAGATCAGGCTTACTGGTCTGATGGAGACTTGGAATCTGCTGATTATGGCCTTTAGTGACTCTTCACTCTTGGACCCGTACTCACTCCTCTGACTCAGCTTTCAGCCCAACAATATACAGGCTTTGAGGGGAAGAATAACAACCGAGAATAACATACACTCCCTAGAACAATCAACTGTACAAAATCAAAGGGACAGCATTTGCGTATGGATAAAAACTCTTAAAATCATGATGGAATAGGAAAGAAGGATGAATAATATAAAAACTCGGAGGGCGGACGGGAGAAGAAGGCTGGTATGTCTTGGGGAGTGCAATCAATGTATGAACTGTTGAATGGAAACCTATTTACTCTATAAAGTTTTAAATCATAAAAAGTTATAAAAACGAAAGAAAAAAAAAAGAAAGTGGAATTACACTCAGAATCATAAAAAAGGATCGAGTCGGGTCACGTGGCAGACAGAGACTGATGGGCCCCCTGAGGCCATGGCCCTTAGTCACCCTGCAGGTCTGGGACTGAACTCACTCCCACAGCTCAAGTTTCAGCCAAACAACAGACAGGTCTGTAAGGGAAACAGGAGGACTAGGGAGGTACTCACAGCTTAGACAGCGGTTCTCAACCTCTGGGTCGCGACCCCTTTGGCGGTTGCAAGTGACTTTTTCACAGGGGTCGCCTAAGACCATTGGAACACACATATTTTCAATGGTCTTGGGCATGGAGACATCACTCCTCTATCATTCTCCAGGCGGGTCCACCCACATGCAGATACACCGATGCTACACCATGCTTCAAGACAAAGTTTCATTGATTTGTCATTAGAAATAAATATTTCACAATATAGAATGATGTGTTGTTTTGGGGATTAATCACTATCCTTTAATTATGTTCAATTTGTAACAATGAAAACACATCCTGACTATTGGATATTTACATGAAAATTCATCACAGTAGCAAAATGACAGTGATGATGTAGCAACGAAAATCATGTTATGGTTGGGGGGTCACCACCACGTGAGGAACTGTACGAAAGGGTCACGGCATTCGGAAGGTTGAAAACCACTGCCTTAGCCTAATCAACCATTTGAGATCCAAAGAGCAGCATTTAGCCAAGGGCAAAGTTCAGAAGGTTAGGAAAGGAGGAGGAGTGGGCACAGGAAACACAGGGAGAAAGTGGGATAAGTCACGTGTCTACATGGGGCCAAGTTCACAGCAGCGACCTGCGAGGTGAGGGAGGAAGGCTGGGGAGGAACCCCTGAGAGAAGGAGGGTGAGGATGCTTGCACGGCTCAAAGAATACCATTGACGTCACGAGGTGACACAGACAGGTAGAAATGGCAGCGTGTATGCTTTGCTGCATATAAACTCAACAGTAAAGCAGTCTCACACCTGGGGTCCTGCTCACACAGCACTTTTTAAGAAAGTTCAAGTTCTTTGCCACTGTCAGGGCACATGGCCTCGTGTCTGTGTGAGTTCTGCACCACTTTGAGGAGGGTGCCCTGCACCCCTGAGAGCAGGTGGCCTAATTTTCACACATACGGTGGTCACAGGAAGATGACCTTCACACACAGGAACATCAAAGGATAAGAGACACATTCGAGACAACACCTTTCTGCACGGGATCGAAGTTTTCTGAGTAAGAAAGCTTCCGTGTAATACCGCTCTCTCACAAAGCAATGCCAGAACATGGTGGGGAAAATGAGGGAATTAATATTATGTGCCCTTGGTATTCTGTATTCCACATACTGTCGGCATAGTGGTTATGAGTTGGGCTGCGACCCCCCAGGTCAGCAGTTTGAAACCACCAGCCTCTCTGTGGGAAGAAGACTGGGCTTTCTACTCCCGTAAGGAGTTATGGTCTCAGCAATTCACAGGGGCAGTTCTACTCTGTCCTACAGACTCGATGGCAGTAAGAGTCTGATATGACTTTGACCCAGTGGGTCTCCCTCTCCAGGGGAGGGGGGTTAACCCTCGCACGATGCACAGGGAAAGCCCCACTACAAAGGAGGGCGCTGGCAGGGGCCCTCGTGTGCCAGTCGCTGATTCCACGAGGACATCAATGTGTGCCTGGGCAGACTGCCGAGTGCCTTTTAGACTACCACCCTTGTGGGAGCAGATGGCCACATATTTTTCCCATGGAACCTCTCAGTGGATTTGAATCCCCAACCTTTCAGTTGGCAATCAACCCACCCCCGGGCTCCTTCCTCTAGGGGCTATCTGGTCCCAAACGTGCACCGTGCTGGCTCAGGACGCCCAGCTTGTGCTCAATGGAACCACCGCGGACGTCTGTCAGCCTGTTCTTTCCCCGCGGCATTCGACAATCTTTCAGCCCCCCCTTTTGGGGTTCACACGATGTCTGGTGGAAGCAGAGCTCCAGGGTTATCATTTACTGGGGAGGGGGCTGCTTCAGAGGCTTAGCATCAGAGCACTACCACAGACCTCTTCAGAGAGGCTGAAGCCCCAACCAAAGCCACTGCCACCCAGTCGGCTCTGAGACCGTACACCTTCCTGGGAGCAGACAGCCTCATCTTTCTCCTGAAGAGCGGCCGGTCGCTTGCAGCCCAATGCCACGCCCACAGGGCGGCCAGGGCGCCTGACCCGTGGATTCTGACACAGCTCAGTCCCTGCCGGTGGTCTTGCGGTACCTTTTCTCTTTTGGGCTTGATCTCTCGGAAAACGTCGCAGTAGCCCATGACGGCCTCCACGAATTTCAGCATCCCCAAGCCTGCCTTGCTCACAGCTTCCATCTCTTCGATGGTGGTGTTGAGCGTCTTCAGGAGACCTAGAGGTCAAGGAGGTCATGCGCTCCGTGAGCGGCCAACGCTATCTCGGGAAAGTACAGCAGAAAACCCGCTGGCTGAGGGAGGCCAAGGCGGACGCAGACCTCGCTCCTTCGGCCTCAGCCCCCAGAAACTCGACTCGTGGGCAGGACCGAGCTCTGTTTAAGTGAATGTGGGGCCTCCTATGGAGCCCTGGGGGCGTAGTGGCTATGTGTTGGGCTGCAATGCCCATGGTCGGCAGTTCAAAACCATGTGCCAAAAAAAAAACCCAAAACAACTCTGGGGAAGAAAGAGTGGGCTTTCTACTCCTGTAAACCGTGAGGGTCTCAGAAGCCCACAGCGGTGCTGGGACTCAGCCCTGACTCATGCGGGAGTTTGAGTTTGTTGGTGTGCGTGACCTCCTCGTGTCCAGCTGCTTCGGTGTGACCCCGCCGGGTGTCCATGGACCCCTGAGTGGGCCCCAAAGTGGCTCCAAGAAGGAACTGACTGGGAAGAGCAGGTTGGTGCAGGCAGTGAGCCCCTCAGTCCCCATCCCCACCCTCGCCCGGGGAGTGAGTTGAAGCCCATCCAGTGGCTATTCAGAGCCGGAGTTTTGTGGGGTGTCTGTCGTGGTTGTTTTTGTGGACTTCAGCTGGAAGGGGCTGCAAATGAACACTTTATGGCAAAGGTCTTAATAATCAAGCTAAGCGGTGGCATTACACCCGTCGTGCTTTTGGCAAGGACTGAGCTCACCCAAGGAGCCTGGCCGCGGTCAGGGAAGCGCTGGGCGGTGACCCGTCAGGCCAGCGCCAGGGTGAGGCTATCTGGCTCCATCCGATTCACAGCCCGGGAACCCTCCCTGGGGCTGCCGTGAGTTGGTGTCGACTCAGAGACAGCAGGTGAAACATTCCCACTGGGTCCAGGAGCAGACCACAGCGAGAGGCAGGCATTTGATCACCCACGGGGGAGGGGGGGCTGGCTATGGGTGAAACTTCTCTTCCTCCCTGTCCACCTGCAGGGACCCAGGGGTCTCCTTGTCCACCCCCAGGGACCTATAGCAGGCCTGGTATGTCAGGGGATCCAGCCCAGAGCAGCCTAGCTCTGGGCAATTTCAGGGAAGGCCCGGTTGGGCTCCTTTCAGAAGGGCTTGTTTCTGAGGGACCCAGAGCCACTGCTGAGTAGGACATCCAGTGGGCACCTGCTGCTGCTGCCCACCGGCCATCCATCCATTTTGGAGGACAGTTGCATGGCCGCCATTATTCTCAGGGGCCCTCTGCTCCCCACACAGGGCAAGTGCCTCGGTGTTGCCGATTCCCGGCCCCCTCCCCGCTCCACAGTAGGTGGGGACCCAGGCGACCCACCCCAAGGGGTCTGCCTTTGGGAAGCCCCATCCCCCCTCTTGGTCCGAGCCCTGAGACCAGGGCGCGCACCTGAGAGGGGCCCCGGCGGTTGGTGGCTGGCACTCACTTCGGATGTTCTTCACCTGGCCCTGGCTGATGGAGTCGAAGTCGATCTCCATCAGGGACCGCAGGAAGTTGGGGTCCGACATCATGCCCTTGGCCGTCTTCCAGTTGAGCTCCTTGTACCCTTTCATGATGAGGATGCACTCACAGACCGTCTGTACCTGCTTCGGTGGCTTCGCGAAGGACCTGCCAGGAGCCAGGACACAGGTGGGTCGGACAGCAAGGGCCTAGTGGCAGAGGTGGTACCAGCTGGGAGCCGTGCTGGCTCCTGGGTCTGGGAGGGACTGGGTCGCGCCCATCAGGGTGCAGACCAGCCTCCTGGGACTTGAATGGGCAGTGGACTGGGGAAGGGAGCAATGATTAAAATGCAGAGGTCTTGGTAGAACGTGAGAAGGAACATTTATAACTGCATCTTCAGACGCTCACCCAGAGCCTCCCAAACCGATGTGGCCTGCCACCCTCTTCTTCAGTGGTCCGGCAATGAAACCCTCCCGTACCACAGCCCGTACTCCTTGATGGGGCTACACACTCTCACCGAGTGGGTCCTAACTCATAAGGGCCCAGATGACAGAGGAGAAGAGAACTGCCCCTGTGGGTTTCCCAGGCTCAGTCTCAATGGGAGTAGAAAGCCTCACCTTTCCCCTGTGGGACAGCTGGTGGTTTTGAACTGCTGGCCCTGTTGCTGGCCCTGTGGTTAGTGGCCTGCCTCATGACTCAGTACGCCCTCAGGGCTCCTAAAGTAAAGTGCAGGTACCTAATTTTGCAGCCAACCACCAGCTGCTCCGCAGGAGAAAGAAACAGGAGGCTTTCTACTCCTGGAAAGAGCTCTGTCTCGGAAGCACAGGGGCAGCTCCACCCTGTCCTCCGAGCTCCCTGTGAGTCGGTCGGCAGGGAGTTTGGATCCTTCCAGCGTCCCCTAAGGGGACGTGCTGCTCCAATAGGGTGATCCCCACTGCCGTCATTGTCACCCTGTCCAGGGGACGAGGAGCAGGGCCTGGTGTGTGGTTGCTCTATGCACGCGCCAATGTCTCTACGCACGAGGCCTCTTCACAGCCATGGGCTATGTCTCTGAGCAGGCCACCGCTGCGGAGGGGACAACAGCGTCCCGCCAGACCGAGGGGGAAACAGGGTCCCGCCAGGCCGAGGGGGAGCCGCGCCTGGCTGCGCTGTGGCACTGGGCTGGCCCCGAAGCCAGAGAGGAGGAGCAGAAGGCAGAGAGTGAGAAAGGGGAAGGTCCCTGACTCACAGTGCCACCCACGTGTTCAGACGACTGACGGGGTCGGCAGGACGGATTCTGGCCCGCTCATAACAGAAAACAGGACCCAGCGGCTCTGCCTTCAGATTAGGAGTCGAGAAAGAATTCCGAGTCAAATCCACATGGAAAAGGGGGCATGAATCCCCCGAGAGGTGGTTAAACGGAAATGAGAAAGGATGGCCTGGGAGGAAAACCACTTTCTCATCAGCGGAAACCGATGAGCAGCGAGCTGCGCCGGAAGGAGTGTGACTCTAAGGATGATGGTAGCAGCCCTTGTTCTTACAGCCGAGAAAACAAAGGAGGGGTGTTCTTCTCTGGCTTCAGTAGCCCTTGTCTGCTTAGCCTCCAACTCCTTCAAAGAACCAGGAACCCTGAGCACGTGGTGAGGGGCCTGGGTGACCCAGAGCAGGTGGAGCAGGGAAAGAGGGGAGAGAGCAGACGGGACTGAGCAGCACAGCTCCAGCCCGAGGGCTATGGTAATGGCCTCAGAGCCACCAGGAAAGCCTCCATGAGGCCAGAGTCCCTGCTGATGAAAGTGGGTGCTGTCTGGGTGGTTGAAGGGTCTCCTGGGGTGGGGGCTGGGTGAAGCCTGGCTCAGCTGCCACCCTCCGAATCCTCGGGGCGGGGAGGGGGCGGGTCTAAGAATCCGTGAGATGTCTTCAGGCACAAGGCGGACGAGGCCCACTCATACAGACACCACCACCGAGAAGAATCTGAACCACATCGACTGGAAGCACCGCATGGTGAAAGTTCTAGAACCAGCCACGGGGAAACCATCCCGCAGCCTGGCCTTTTAGCTACGACGCCCCGAGGCAGAACTAACAAAGTAAACACCTGCCACGGAGAACGGTACAGACCTGTGTGCGTGGCAAACTCAGGATGAACACGTGAGCTTCATAAACACAGCCAGACGGCCGTGGGTGGCCAACTAGTGGGAAATACCACAACCCCGACCACGGATTTAAAAAGCTCACCTCTCTCTCTGATCTGGAAATGGACAAGAAAAGGAACAAGACAGCCCCCGGTGGACACACGGACACACAAACCAAGTTGTCCACCATAAGATAAGTGACTCCCACACACAGTGCCTTATCATGGTAGGTTCGTGGGAGAACAGTGAAATTCCCAGTGGCTGAGCGTGCCCTCTGTTGCTGACGTTGTGAAACTGCAGGCTCCTGGGGGTGGCAAAGCCCAAACCAGAGCCGGAGTGGGTGCCTCGGGGTTTTCAAGGGCCTGGATGCTGGCAGCAGGGGGCCAGACGGTTCTTCCAAAGCACCTCTGGGTGGACTTGACCCTACAATGTTGCTGTTAGCAGCTGAGCGAGTGGACTGGGAGTGGGAGTGGGAATGTGTGCAGCCCCAGGGAGAAGCCAGGCAGCTGGGGGCATTGGTGTGCCACACCCTTGGACCCAGCCAAGCAGTTCTGGCGGGCCTGACACAGGTGCCCAAAGAGGCAAGCCCAGGTTATCCTTTGCTGCGCTGGAACCCAGCGAGGTTCATCATTAATAAAACATAGCACAGCCATGGAATGGGACCCGATGCAGCTCTTTGCAAAGACGAAGGAACAGCTTCATCTATTGTCATGCAAAAGCTCTCTAAAATGTGTTGCTACAAAGAGAGAGAAAAAAAGACCAAGGAGCAGAGAGAGAGAGGCAGAGTGTGTTGTTACAAATACTGAGAATCGGCCGTGGTGTTTATGTTGTAATACATGCGTGTGTCTAAGGACACAAGTTCCGGGATCCTTGGCGGGGTCGTGGGTTAAGCATGGGGCTGCTAACCACAGGTCGGTGGTGGTTCGAGCCCATCAGCTGCTCTGAGGGAGAAAGAGGAGGCTGCCTGCTTCTACGAAGATTTTCAAGACACTGACTTAGGAAACGGTGCCAACAATGGTGATTGCAGCAGACCTCCTAGGAATTTGGTCCCTGCTCTGGAATGAACCAACCTTCTTCGCAAGTTGGCATCCCTCTCGCCAATAAGAAAGCCAGGGCGTTGTCTTTGGGCCAGGTGTGGCACAGGTGTCCTGAAGGAGGAACGCTGAGCATAGACCTGCCCCCTCGGGACCACAGAGAGAAAGGCCCTGGCGGGCTGGGACACGGGCTCTCTCTCCCAACTGGGGAGCCAGAAGAGGAGAAGAGAGTACAGATATTCCTAAACTAGGGCTCGGCAGACAGGGGAAAGGTTGGAGAGGAAGGGGGGGGCGGCTGGCCTTTGAAAGCTAGTCCCAGTGGCCTGTCCACCCCACACACGGCTGCTTCTCCTGCGAGCAGCAGAGCAGGCGCCATTTTGCAGGTTGACTTCTGAACTGTCTGGTGGTCACCAGGACCCCAGCTGGAGAGGCAATGTGCCTCATGGCTGCAGTGTCCAGTGTGCCCTGCAGGAGGGGGAGACACCCCGGTGTCAGCTCCCTGTCAGGCAGCCCAGCCCGCTTCTGGAGCCCCTTGTCCTTGGTGAGTCAGCCGGGGTTCCCTGTTGACTCTGTCGCCTCCCTGCAGGGTAGAGGAGGGCAGGGATGGCCGGTGTGGGGGTGAGGGGGCGGGACCTAAACAGGGCCAGTGCTTGGCCCAGGACGCAGCGCTCAGCATGGTGCCATGACTGCCGCCCTGGTGGTTGCCTGGGCCAGCCACAGGCAGGCAGCCGGGCTACCTGATCTCTGTCACGTCGGACTTGTCCAGCTTCTGCAGCTCCAGCTTGGCCGCCTCCAGGATGGGCATGACCTCGGCCAGTGCCGTCTCCGCCTCGGCCTTCTCTACGGCGATGATCTTGTTCTGCTCCTCAATCTCGATGGCCTTCTCCTCTGCCAGCTTCTTCTTCTCCTCCGCTGAGGGGGGTGGGGGTGGGGGGCGGGCCAGGGTCAGCAGGGGGCCAGGGACTCAAGGCAGGGTCTCCAGCACCAGGGCAGACCTTTTCCCTCCGACCTGCTTTTCCTGGTCCAGCTATGAGCCATTGCTCCATTCCCGCCCCACCCACCCCCTGCCCCTGCTGCCAGACTGCCCTTCCTGTGTCCCTACACACCAAGACGACCCCCGCTGCCTCCTCATCACCTTCCCGATGTTCATTCAGACCCACCTCAAGAGCCACCCGCTCAGCTGGCCTGCCCATCCTGGCCCTCGGACATCACTCTGCTGAGTCCCTGCGAGACCCGGTCACCCACCGCGTGAACTACGTCCCTGCACTATCGGCTCTCCTGCTGTTCCGAGTCCCCTCGTAACGCAGGGACTCATGTGCCGCAGCTAATCTGTGGCCTCCTGCCTGGGCAGCGTGTCCCCACACTTGCCGATGGCCGTGTTGGTGGCAATCTCCTGCAGCAGGGCCTCGCAGGCCGCCGACTTCTCGGCCAGCACCACCTTCTGCTCGGCCAGCTTCCGGTTCAGCTCGTCCAGCTGGATGGTGGCCTCCTTCAGCTTGTCCAGCCCGCCCTCCAGGCGTTTGCACTGAGCTGCAGAGACAGCAGCCAGGCGGGCGAGGTCAGAGACCTGGGGAGAAGCGCTGTGATTCACGCCGCTTGTCTGCGTGGGGGGAAGCGCAGCAGATGCCATTTCTTATGAGCTGTCACTTGGAGATGCGCGCCACCACGCCTGGGATGCCATCAGCCACATGGGGATTCCCTTGGCCAATGACCCCCGACGGGAAAAGGAACCCAGGTGCCATCACTGCCGGCCCCAAGTGCGTCAGAGTGGAGCTCTGCTCCCAGGAACACAAGGCCACTCTCTTTCTAGAGGACACAGGGCCTTTTTTTCTTCCAAAGCGCCTCCGGTAGACTCAAACCACCAATCTTTCAGCCAGCAGATGAGTGTGTGGCTTGCTTGCGCCACCCAGAGGCTCTGGTCAGATCACACCTTAAAACAAGAAGAAGAAGAAGGAGAAGGAGAAGGAGAAGCAGAAGGAGAAGGAGAAGGAGAAGGAGAAGGAGAAGGAGAAG